GTAGATTCCCCACCCATCTGCAAAACAACTGTAATAACCGAACCTTTCCCAATGGTCCCAGAGCTAATACAATTATCAACTAAATTTAAATTTTAAAGCCTAGGAAAGTTACAATATTTAATTTTTAAAGCTAGTGTATATACACACACATTAACTTTCTGAACTCTAAAATGACAGTGAATTTTAGACACATTAGAACTGGCATATTACAATAACTGCCTCCTGGGCAGCAGAGACACCAAAACTTTATTAAGTTGGACAGTGATATTTTAAGTTATGCATCCTGAAAACATAGTATCCCAACTCATGATGGGGGCAGAAATTAACCCCAAATACTATTAACCTATACCATCAGTTAAAGTCACTAATGAAAATAATTGAAGACACACATTAATCTTAAAGTGATATAAAACATGGGGTTATACATCTTTTAAAACAACTGAATTTATGACATCAATATTTACTTATAATACAGTTAAGAATGGGTCTAGAGTTCTACTTTAATTCACTTTTTAGTCTAACTGGGTACCTAACTGGACGAATGACTGCAAGTTGGAACAAAGTCCATTGGCTTAAACCTGTTAACCACTGTGAATGTATCTTGCAGGTACTACATTATCGATAGGCCTCTTTAGTTCCTGGCTTTATTTTATACAGTATTGTTGGTTTAAAAATGAGATGCAAAGCTTAAAAATGGGGCCAATTTAACATCTGCAAACAACCATACACTACTTGGGAGTATAAATATGAGGTCAACATTCTGCCAACTTTCATCACTATCAAAAGCAGTGGTTTGTGTGTTTGTGTGTGTGTGTGTGTGTGTTTTAATAAAGACACTGGCACCAGAGGCCATCTACATGAGTTGCTAGTCTAGATGGCTCAGATTCCATTTGTTCTACTCTTTGCTTTACAGCTGAAATCATAAATGTCTACATCTGTGTCATAATTATTTCCAAAGCCAATTAAGAGATGTCAAACAGAAAATTTTGACTTCAAGTAATGAATAAAAATGGCAGGAATAGGTAATTCTTAAGGATGAAATTTAGTTCATTCAAGGCAAACAAATTAAATGATTTACCCTGTTTATTCACTTAGGGGAAAGGGAAATTATCACACTATAAAAGGTGCAAACATTAGAAGTTGCCTAGTTCTCTGCAGAAGTGGGAAAATACAGGTTTTATTATGGTGTGGCTGAGGGGTAGGGGTAGCAAAGGGGTCAATGATACACTAATTGAATGGTTCAGAGTAAAATGGCGAGACTTTCAACTCTTAAGATAGAAGGTGATGACATACTTTTAACAGTACTGTCAATTCTGGGAAAATATTTAGTGCAAAAGGAATAGCCAGAAATTTGTCTCTATGTCCTAAGGCATAGATTCACATTTCCTTATTAGCCAATAAGCAGAGTCCTAAACAACAACCAAAAAAACTAGACTATCTCATTTGCTGTAATTTAATAGATGGTACAAAATAAAAACTTGGAATGAATTCAGTTTACATTTAAATAATGCATTTGTATAAAGATTAACCGTTTGTGGAATTAAAGAGCATTTTATAGTGCTTTAATGGGTATAATATAGGACAAAAGTTTGTATTAAACCAAATATACAAAAGATATCATTATCTTGTCCCTTAGTAAACCTGGCATGTAAATGTCTTTCATTATCCTAAACTGTCACCATAAGCACACTGTTGCAACTCGTGCTAAGAAAGTGGCATCCTAGTATGGCAATAAGGGTTTTTCATACTCTGGCCCTAAACACATACCTTCCCAGCCCCTTTTCAGATCCTAAGTATCAAAAGAAAGAAAGAAAACTGCAACTCTCCAATCATACCTAGATATTATTCCTCTGTACCTTTCCTCGCGTTGTTCCTCAGTCTTTCTTCCATCTATCTCCCTTTGATCAAGTCCTATCCATTCTCCAAGGCCACCCAGGGTTGATGTTCTCGTATGTATGACTTTTGTTTGTCACACATTATAGTTAGTGTCATTAACTATATATTAATTTAGGGCCATTCCATTGTTTATTAGACTGTTAGCTTCTCAAGGGCAGCAAGCTTGTATGAGATCAACCTCCCATAAACTCAAAACCTGGCAAAATACAAGCTTGCTACATAGCATTTCCTCGATGTTCTTAACTGGCCAACTCATTCTGGTTCTATACATTGGGATGTTCTAATTTTATCCTATGTAAGGTGAAACAGTTCTCTCCTGGATTAGTATCCTAAGTACTGCAAAAACCCAAACAAGGCATGTGAAAGTAATTTGCCAAACTATAGTAATAAACTCTCAGTTGAATGGCACCAGTTTTGAAAACTGCCTTTAAGTTCTAAATCATCAGGGGGGTCTGAAATTAGCCATCTCCTCTGTCCAAATTTCAGATGGGCTTTTCTTATTAAAATCCTAGAGGTTAGAAGTGAGCCAACTCTGATATTTGAAACCACCATTTCAACAGACCTCTTATTTATGTGTACTTTAGACCACTTGGGAAAGATGAGATCATTTTAAGCAGCAGCGCCATCATTTCTCTTTATTTGACCCCAACAATGCTCTCAACCTAACCAGCAAGGAGACATGCATGAACCAAGCAAAACCATATAGTAATAAGGCAGCTGCAGGTATATTTACCAACAGGGAAAAAGTACACCAAAGGACACTGGACCTTCCCTAAAAATGTCGGATACGGAGGTACCCTGGGCATCCCCTTCCCCCACCTTCACAAATCTACTCCTGGAATCTGAGACATAGGTCCTTTGTCTGAACAACGTGGGAGGAGTCTGTCTGCAGTGCTGGTGTGCTGGCAAGAGAATTCACTGAAAACGGTATAAATGCATGAAGTTCCTTAACTCAATTACCTTACTGTTGAATTTTTCTTCATCGTGTACACCAAAGCATACTAAAAGGTAGCCAGTGTGCCTTTTCGAGAGTTAAAATATATTAAAAGGAATATAGTAAGATCAACAGAGTTAGGCTGCACTTCTTCAAAGGCTAAGTTTCTGACTAG